CTTCCTCCCTCTTAATCCTCACAGCAGCCCTTCCAGTGCTATTATTATTGTTTCCATTTACAGACCAGGGAACCAACCAAAGCTTCCAGAGGTCAAGGGCCTTGTCCTGCTCCACTGTGGGGTGGGTAAGGCTGCTGCGTGACCTGGGCCCCACATATAAAGTGAGGGACTTTACTTGAGGGCCGCCAGGACCTCACATCCCATCCCTGACTTTGGGTCTGCAGTTCCAACTCCCAGGACTTTCCCACCCCCTGCCCCTGTGTGCTGTTCCGAAGGGCCCAGCTCCCTTGGGAACAGCCAGGCCCGCCCCCTCCCCCTCCCGGGCTGTGCTCCTGGCAGCTCTGCCACCCTAGGCTCTGGTCCGGGGGTGGTCCCTGGCAGAGAGGGGGCCAGGCAGAAGATGGATGCTGGGGATGAGATGCGGGGTATTTGGAGCCCCCAGGCCCCCACCTCAGAGCCCACTGTGCTCTAGGCTGGGGTGGGCAGGGCCTTTTGGAAAGGGGTGGCTTGGGGTTTTAATCACTTTTTCAATGTTTGTTTGTGTAATTCAGCCCCAAAATGCTTTTCCCTCCATCTGTCCCACCATCTGCTCCCGTCAGGATTTTCCAAACCGTTTGGGACCAAAGAGGCAACAAGATGGGGGGTGGGGGGTGGGGGGCGGGGCTAGGGTGGCTGGGCCTCTGAGGGGGCTGGGGAGGGGCCACCTTCACCCACTTCATTGAGAGGCTTCCAATTGGGAGGCTTCCAGAGAGGGCCTGGGTTCCTGAGTCACAGAGCACTGGGTTCAATTTTTTATTTTTTTAGACATGGTCTTGCTCTATCGCCCAGGCTGGAGTCCAGTGGCAAAATCATAGCTCGTTGTAATCTTAAATTCCTGGCTCAAGCAATCCTCCCACCTCAGCCTCCCAAGTAGCTCAGACTATAGGTGCTTGCCACCATGCCCAGCTGATTTTTGCATTTTTTGATAGAGACAGGGTCTTCCTACATTGCCCAGGCTGATCTCGAACTCCTGGCCTCAACCGATTGTTCCTCCTCAGCCTCCCAAAGTGCTGGGGGTACGGATGTGAACCACTGAAGCTGGCCAGAACTGGGTTCAAATTCTGACAATGTTGCTTTCTTGCTGTGTTACCTCAGACAGTGACTTTACTCCTCTGAGCCCCAGTCTTCATATCTGTACAATGGCAGTAACATTATTTATTTATTTATTTATTTATTTATTGGAGACGGAGTTTCGCTCTTGTTACCCAGGCTGGAGTGCAATGGTGCGATCTCGGCTCACCGCAACCTCCGCCTCCTGGGTTCAGGCAATTCTCCTGCCTCAGCCTCCTGAGTAGCTGGGACTACAGGCACACGCCACCATGCCCAGCTAATTTTTTGTAGTTTTAGTAGAGACAGGGTTTCACCATGTTGACCAGGATGGTCTCGATCTCTTGACCTCGTGATCCACCCGCCTCGGCCTCCCAAAGTGCTGGGATTACAGGCTTGAACCACCGCGCCCGGCTGGCAGTAACATTATTGATTCCTCGGGATCACTGAGGACCCAATGAGGTGACGTGTGCGGAGTGCTCTGCACACTGCAGGCGCTTGAGATATCCTGTCTCTCTCTTGGGCATGCAGGAGCGGTTCTGTCCCTCCCTTGTTAGTGGTAGAGGAGGGTAGTCACTCGCCCCCGATTTCTGTGCCCCTCTCCTTCTTTCTCAGATGTTGGGGATGTCCCCTCCCTTAGAACTTGCTCCCCCTTTCATGGACCCTGCTACTGCTTGGCTCTTTCAATTACTCACCTCCACTTCTACCCCACCCCTGCTTCTCCCTCCTCCTGGGAGCCTCGGTCTGAGATGGGAGGGACTGAGTATCACCAGCAAGGCCACCGCCCCACATACAAGAGGCTTGCGGGGTCAGGAGGCCTCATCCGTTCACACTTACATCACTTGTCTGACCTCTCTGCTCAGAAAGGGGAAGAGACTTGCTCTGGGTTGTCTAGAGCGAGGGACCCAGGCCTGCTGCCCAGCTACCCCTCGGCCCTCCTTTTTGGGGCCATGTCTTAGGGCACTAGGGCTTGCGGTGTGGGGAGCCCTGAACCTTCTTCAGCTGTTGTTGAGGGGTGAGCTTCCAGTGCTTCTTAGCCCCTGCAGGTGGCTGACGTGAAGTAGCGGCAGAGCCCACTCGGGCCCACCCTCTGCCTCCAGATCCGCCCTACACAGTCTAGGTGCAGGAAAGACAAAGGCAGGAGGGGGCTCATGGGAAGGGGGAGACATGGCCTTGCCTTCCAAAGACCCTGTCTACTGGGGAGACAGATTGCAGATTGGGGTTCCTGAAGGCAGGGCACCAGAGTCACCCTCGAAGAAGAAAGGCGGTTGGTGGTGGGTGTGGCAGTGGTGGGAAGAAGTCAGCCCCTGAGGGACTGAACCTGCAGGAGGCTGAGCTGGGGAAGAGGGAGGCAGAGAGGGGGCTGAGCAGCCCAAGATGGGGATAAACTGAGACCCCAAGGATGAAGAGGAGGATCCAGACCACTAAAGAGAGAGAGGAAGAGATGATGGGGAAGGGCACCGGGGGGTCGAGGCAGGGCAGGCCCCTCTTCCTGACCCTGGCACAGCTGGCCCTCCAGGCCTGGTGGGGATAGGGGAGGGAGCTTGCCACTGGAGGGCCCTGGGGTGGGGGCTGAGCAGCAATCTCTCCCAGCCTCCAGGTCCTCAAGAAGAAGGCAGCTGGGAACCACCCACGCTCATCTGGCGTCTCACGCCTCCACCGGGGGTCCCAACATCCAAGCCAAGGCACGCAGTGGAGCTGGTGTTCCGGAGGCCCAGCTGTCCCCACCCCACCCCAGCCTGGCTCCTCAGTTCCTCCAGCTGAGACCTCCCCGCCTGCCTCCAAGCAGGAGGGACTAAGGCTAGACTCTGAGGACCTGAGAGGCTCAGTCTGGGAGCCTGGAGGTGGAGCTTTGATCTGAGCCCTGGAGAGCCCAGAGGGGCTGAGCTGCTGATGCTGAAGAAACTCTGGGCTGGGAAGGGTCGTCTGGGCAGATGGCAAATGCTGCCAGCTTTACCTGCAAGTAAATCCAGAAACCAGACCCATCCCAGCCATCTCTCAGCCTGAAATGGCTCCCGGCTCCCACCTTGCCCCCAGCTCCTTAAAGTCTATTCTTGACACAACAGACCAAGGAAGTTGTCCACCCGGAGGTCACACCCTCTCACTCTGCTCAAAGCCCCCCCAGGACTTTCCATCTCATCCAGAATAAAAAACCTGAAGTCCTTGTTATGGGCCCCAAGTCTCTGGATCTGCTACCATTCTGACTGCCACCCCCCAATCCCAACTTTTTTTTTTTTTTTTTTTTGAGACAGAGTTTCGCTCTTGTTACCCAGGCTGGAGTGCAATGGCGTGATCTCGGCTCACCGCAACCTCCGCCTCCTGGGTTCAGGCAATTCTCCTGCCTCAGCCTCCCGAGTAGCTGGGATTACAGGCACGCACCACCATGCCCAGCTAATTTTTTGTATTTTTAGTAGAGACGGGGTTTCACCATGTTGACCAGGATGGTCTCGATCTCTTGACCTTGTGATCCACCCGCCTCGGCCTCCCAAAGTGCTGGGATTACAGGCGTGAGCCACCGCGCCCGGCCGAATCCCAACTTTTAAAAACATGTCTAGGCCGGCACAATAGCTCATGTCTGTAATCCCAGCACTTTGGGAGGCTGAGGCAGGTGGATCACCTGAGGTCAGGAGTTCAAGAGCAGCCTGGCTAACATGGTGAAACCCCATTTCTACTAAAAATACAAAAAATTAGCCTGGTGTGGTGGCATGTGCCTGTAATCCCAGCTACTCAGGAGGCTGAGGCAGGCGAATTGCTTGAATCCGGGAGGCGGAGGTTGCAGTGAGCGGAGCTCATGCCATTGCACTCCAGCTTGGGTGACAAGAGCAAAACTCCGTCTCAAAAAAACAAAAACAAAAACAACCCCCCCCACACACAAACACACAAGTCTAATATCAACATGTATATTGTGTCCATTGTTTATTGTCTGCACCTGTAGTCTCACTACCTAGACAGAACAGTGCTGCCCTCAGAACTAGGGTTTTATACACATTTGTGGAATGAATGGATGAAGTGGATGAGGGCACACACATTGGAAAAATCATTTAACCCCTCTGAGCCCATTTCTTCATGTGGACAATTAGGACCAACCCCCAGAGATGGAAAAAGGACAAAATCTCAGCCCAGCATTCAGAGACTGTCGCTGAGGCTGGGGGCAGGAGGAGCTGGGCTGGGGATCATCAGCTCTGGAGAGGAGCTGTGCAGTGGGTCGGCAGGCAGTGGTTAAGTGCCACTGAATACCCAGGCAGGAGAGGTGCTGCCCTCCTGTCACTGCCCGCACAGTCAGAGCCTGGGGAGGGAGGGAAGGACGGATGGGGTTTTCTTGATTGGAGGGGGGAGTGGGAGGAGCAGCTGACATCGAAGTTGGGAGGTGGGATTAATTCTGAGAGAGGGTCGGGTGAGGTAGGGAGTGGTGGGCTTGAGATGGGGGCCGGCTCTCCAAGGTGGAGGTGAGAAAGGGGGCGTGTCTGGCCCCCTACCCCTAAGACCTCAGTAGCTGGAGGAATGGGCGCTCTACCCTCCCCGAAGAGCCCCCGGCTCTGTTAATTGGGAGTTGAGGCGCAGGAGCAGGGAGGGTGCCCAGGGTGCAGATTCTGCCCTCGGAGCGACGGGCAGCTCAGAGCCCAGGTGGGTAGGGGAAAGGAAGCGCGGCTGAGCGGCCAGGGATCGCCCCCGGCTCAGGAGAGAGGCCTTTTGGCATTATCCCGCCCCTCCGTTCCGGCCACCAGAGCCGAGATGCTGAGGAGAGGGGCGCCGCGAGCCTCCTCCCCGGGCAGGGTGCTCCCTCGAGGGGGACCGGGGAACTGAGGGCGTCCCCTTCTCTCTCGGGGCGGGGGCGGGGCGGAGCCTAGCTCGCTGTTCCACCACCCCCAGGACTGGCGGGGACCCCCCCCAGGGGAGGGGCTCCGGGTGAGCGCTGCGGGGCGTCTCCCTCGCAGTCCCGCCCGCCCCTCCGGCCGCCCCTGCCGCGCGCGCCGCAGCAGCGCCGCCTTCCCTGCGCAGTCGGTGTCTCCGCGTCGCTGGGTGAGTGGGGGCCCCTCCATTCGGGGCCGGGGGATGAGGGCAGGGGGTTCCCGGAGCCGGGGGCCCACGTCCAGGGCTTCTCAACCCCGTCGCTCCCGCGCTTCCCGGGCATCCTTGCCCCCGGGGTGGTGGGGGGGGTGCAGGGGACGGGGACTTCCCCGGGGAGCGCGTGGTGCTCTCCAGGGTCCTGACTGCCCAGTGACCGGCCCCGAGGAGCCGCGTTTGGCCGCCCAGGAGCGCCCCCTCCAGGAGGGGCCAAGCGCTAAACGCTGTCCTAGTGCTGAGCGAATGGAGGCGGTGGCTGGGGGCCAGAGCTGGGGGAGGTTTGGAGCGGGTCCCCGGGGCTGACTTCTCAGGTCGAGCTTGAGGGGGTTCCTCCCATGTGGAGGACTTGAGGTCTATGAGGACAGTTGAATCTTCTTCCAACCGGGAGGGGCAACTCCGAGGGTGGCAGGGCGAGGGGGGCACTGGAGGAGCTCTCCTGCTCTGCGCATCTCTCTGCCCCCGCTCCGGTGACCCAGTTCCTTGGACCTTGAGGAGGGCAGTGAGGGACATGCCCCAGCCCTTCTCATTTCCTCAGTCCTTTCCCACTCACTCGTCGGGTCCTTAGCCTGGGGCATAAGAGGCTGGTCTAGAAAGGAGGGGCACCAACTTACAGAAACATGCGTGTGACACACCGCCGAGGACACACACGGGTCCCCCAAATGGCCACATGGGCTCATTCCCTCATGCTGTGACGGGTGCATACCTGATCACATGCACATCCAATGCACATGGACCGACATAGATGGGAAGACACGGCAGGCGAATGCAGTGCAAAAAGCAGCGGCACACATCATGCATGAGCACATGCACTCACAACACACCCATTCACATATGTGCAGAGCTTCATGCACATGTAAGCACAAGGAACCCCCTCATTGCCCCAAGTGGGTGGGGGTCACTTGCATACACCCCTACACCCCTGTGCAGAACTGGCTGGCTGTTTCCTCTTCATTGCCTTCTACTCAGCCTCCACAATCTAACCTCCACTCAAGGGACCTTTCAGGACTAGATGAAAGGTAAGTGTTGGGGAGGCTTGGATGGGCATGGGGGTGTCTCCTTGGAAAAGGGGCCCCCAGGAGGTCTGGGAAGGTTTGCAGCTCCCTCTCCTGGGACCTGACAGCACCCCTGGGAAAACGGAAGGAAAACAAAGAAAAATGGCAAGGGTGCCTGAAGGTCCCACGTGCAGCTGGCCATGTGAGAGGTGTCAGCATGCGAGTTGGCGTGTGATGGCATGTGTGAGACATGTGGGGTCGTGGGCTGGTGTGTCTTGATGCACAGGGTATGGGAGTTGTGCGTGGTGCCATGTGTCAGTTCGTGTGAGTTGTGGAGCAGAGGGAATGTCGCCATGTGTGGAGGCATGCTGACCCATGGGTGGGAGTGAGCTGGTGCGTCAGTGGCATGGGATCCAGCGTGTGGATCTGGTGAGCTGTGAAGCATACAGTTATTGGTATACATTCATTTGCACAGTTTTTGCATGAGTTTTGTGACACCTGGGTATATGTCAATCATTTTTATTTATTTATTTAATTTTATAAAAAGACGGGGTTTCACCATGTTGGTCAGGCTGGTCTTGAACTCCCGATCTCAGGTGATCTGCCCGCCTTGGCCTCCAAAGTGCTTGGATTACAGGCGTGAGCCACCACGCCCAGCTGTAAATCATTTTAATTTAACACTTATGTAGCACTTATCTATGCAGCCATGGTTCTAAGTGCTTCACACCTATTAACTAATTTAATTCTCACAACAATCCTCTTAGGTAAGTACTGTTATTACCCCACTTTAAAGATGAGGTAGAGAGAGTTTAAGGAACTTGCCCAAGGTCACATAGCTGGTAAGAGGAGGAGCTGGAATTAAAACCTAGGTGATCTGACTCGATCACAGTTAACACCCACAGTAACACCTCCCTACGCTGCCTCTTGTTGGGCACACCTGTCAGAAGGAGAACAGGGCAGTGTCTGGACTGCAGGTATGTTCTGTGCTGAGCAGGCACATGTGAGGCAATGAGAAGGCAGTGGGTAGGATGGAGGAGGATCAGGTTTTCTGCACCTCTGTGGATAACTCCAAGAGTCAGCCCTGCAATGCCATGGCTGTGTGACCTGAAGCAGCCCCCTCACGTCTCTAAACCTTCCTTCTCATCTGTAAAATGGGGCAAGTTCCCATACCTCCTGTTGTGAGGGTGAGATGGTGTGCATTTGTGAAGGCTTAGTGGCTGGCACTGAGAAGGGCCTCAGCAAATGTGAACCCCTTCCCTTCCTCCCTCTCCGGTCTGCTCCCCAGGAAATTGTGTGGTCCAGGGAGATGGCAGGGAGCATGGCACAGACACAGGATGCCTGGGTCTAGGCGGTGTGATCTTGGGCCATTTCCTCTCTTTCACTGGGCCAAATGAGAGGCAGGGATAGCTGGTGGCAGGGGGGGCCCATCTGAAGCAGTGTCAAGTAGCCAGGAGGACCTGATCACTCCTCTCTGTCCCTTGACCCCCTTGGGGACCCAGGTGGGACTTGGCTCGGCGGCCATGGGCAAGCAGAACAGCAAGCTGCGGCCTGAGATGCTGCAGGACCTGCGGGAGAACACGGAGTTCTCAGAGCTGGAGCTCCAGGAGTGGTACAAGGGCTTCCTCAAGGACTGCCCCACAGGAATCCTCAACGTGGATGAGTTCAAGAAGATCTATGCCAACTTCTTTCCCTATGGTGACGCCTCCAAGTTCGCCGAGCACGTCTTCCGCACTTTTGACACCAACAGCGATGGCACCATAGACTTTCGGGAGTTCATCATTGCGCTGAGCGTGACCTCACGCGGCCGCCTGGAGCAGAAGCTCATGTGGGCTTTCAGCATGTATGACCTGGACGGCAATGGCTACATCAGCCGGGAGGAGATGCTGGAGATCGTGCAGGTGGGCCCCTGGGCCCCTCAGAATGCCAGGCGAAGGGTCTGGCAGCTGGCACCCACCACCCCCTTTATCCTCTCAGCAAACCTTGTAGGCAAGTGGAGGCAGGGGCTATTCTTGCAATCCCGTTTAAAAAATTGTTTCTTAGGAAATATTTCCCACTTAAAGAAAAGTTGAGAAAACTCCCCTATATTCTCTACCCAGATTCACCTATTTACATTTTGCCACAGGTGCTTCCTCATTATCTAGTGCATGTGCATGTGTGCACATGAGTGTGTAACGTTTTCTTGTTGTTCTGAACATTGGCCCTTTACCCCTGGATACATTAGGATATATTTCCTAAAAATAAGGGCATTCTCTTACATAACCCATAATATGATTACCCAAGCCAGGATATTTAACATAGAAACAATGCTATTATCTAATCTACCAACCATATTCCAATTTTGCCAACTGTCTCCATAATGTTCTTTGTAGCACTTTCAGCCCTGACCTGGGGTCATGCATTGCATCTAGTTCTCGTGTCTCTTTAGCCCCTTTAATCCAGGATAGCTCCTCATCGCTTCTTTATTTTTTATGAATTGACATTTCTGCACAGTACAGTCCAGTTATGTCTTACTGATCCTTATTTACACCAGAGGAAACGGATGCTCAGAGAGATAAAGGGATTTACTTGAGGCCACACAGCCTGTGTGAGTGGGCCATCTGGCCCACTTTCCACATTCCATCTGGATACCCAGCCACCTTCTAACTGATTGAGGACCCAATAAGAGCCTAGCATTGAGTAGGTGCTCATGAGCTCAGTGCATGCTTACAACAACCCCATGAGACTCAGAGAGTCTCAAAGTCACACAGCACATAAGTGAGACAAGCTCTGGCTAGCCACTACTCAGAGTTGTCTACTGAGAGGGCTCTGGACTCCTGGCCAGGAGGTCTGGCTTCCAGTTCCGGCCTTCACTTTTAGGTTGCTCATCTGTATAATGGACATGGTGATACTGACTTCACAAGATTTAAGGACCTGATATAATGCCCTTTGTGAGTACAAGTTTAAGTATGCTACATGTTAGCTTTATTTCAGAAACCTCCCAGAGCACCCATCTCCTCAGCCCAGGCTTGAAGATGGCCAGGGCTCTGGTTCTGTTTTACCTGTCCATTTCCTTGCCTGCCTTTTTCCTAAGCCTTTACAGGTTTCTTCACCTGTTAAGGGGGTGTTAAGCCCCTTCCTCACAAGGTTATTGCAGGGATAGAGTGAGATAAGGACTTGAGCGGAGGGCCTGGCATGTAATTGGTACTTGGTAGACATTAGCAATTGTCTGTTATTATTTTATCCTCTGCACATCCTCTGCTCCAGCCAGAATGGTCTTTCCAGCATCTCAATGAAATGTGCCCTGACTAATCCTGTCATGCAGCTCTGCACAAGCTCTTGCCCCCTTTCCTTCACATCTCTGAATCCTTTCCCTTCTGGTCTCCCAGCTCCACAGACTGCTGCCCCAGCCACTGTTGGATTCTTGACTTTGGCGTCTCCTCTTGCTAAGGTCTGGGCCTGCTCTCCAGGTGGAGATGTGATGCCCTCCCCATACCTATGGCTAGAGGGGGGAAAAGCCTTAACGTTTGTCACCGACTCCTGTGGGCCAGGCATTTGACTCTTTAGTTGCTTGATGGTAGGGGGATTTGGGGGTCCTGATGGTAGGGTCGGGTGGCTGGGGTGGGGCGAGGATCACCCAGGCATGGCAGCAGCTGGATACTGACCAGTCTGGAGGGATGTTCACATTCTACCAATCAGTGTGGTGCATTGGTGTGTACTGGCAAACCTCAGTCCTGCTGGAGCCACCATGCCCAGAGCATCAGTCAAGCCAGACCCATTGCCTGGGCATCCTTAGGACCCGTTTCTGGTGGCCTCTGCTGTCCAGGCCCTGGCTTCCTTTATGGTGGCCCTGTGGCTCCAGACGGCTGGTGCACACAGAGCTCTGCAAGCCCCAGTGCCTGATTAATGACAAGTCAGCTCCCTTGAAACCATGAGTGAGCAGCAATTCCAGACAATTAATTAGGAGGTCCAGGAGAAGGCTGTCATAGGGTAGTGGTCACTGGCCCAATTCTTTTCAAGACCCAGCCCTGTGCCAGGTAGTGGACACACTGGAAAGGAAGAAACTGTGCCTCTTGGGGCTCCCACTCTGGTGGGGAGACGGATGTGGAAGTCCCACTGACCAGCTCAATGACAGGGGTGTAAAGGTGTCATCTGGGAGACAGGGGACTGAGTGGCAGGGAAGACTTGAGGACTTGGAGGATGAATAATGACTAATATGAGCTGCTGTTTACTGACCACCCACTCATACTTATCTCCCAGATGAGTACTCTTACAGATGAGTTTACAGATGAAGAAACTGAGGCTCACAGAGGTTAAGTACTTGTCCAAGGCTACACAGTTAGTGAGCAGTGGAACCAGGATGGCACTCCAGGTCCATCCAATTTTAGAAACTTGAGACTACCAGACCCCTCCTTTCATATGCTAGTCAAACAGGTACTAATATCCCGTCACAACCGTGGCTACCATTCATTGAGCAGTTATGACAGACCGTGCCTAATGCCAAAGGCCCTGCTGATCGTCACTATCCCTCCAGCAGCTAAGAGGGAGCAGGTACAAATCAAGTCTCTGCCATCAATTTCCTTTCTGAGCCTCAGTTTCTTTTTTTTTTTTTTTTTTGAGACGGAGTTTCGCTCTTGTTACCCAGGCTGGAGTGCAATGGCGCGATCTCGGCTCACCGCAACCTCCGCCTCCTGGATTCAGGCAATTCTCCTGCCTCAGCCTCCTGAGTAGCTGGGATTACAGGCACGCACCACCATGCCCAGCTAATGTTTTGTATTTTTAGTAGAGACGGGGTTTCACCATGTTGACCAGGATGGTCTCGATCTCTTGACCTCGTGATCCACCCGCCTCGGCCTCCCAAAGTGCTGGGATTACAGGCGTGAGCCACCGCGCCCGGCCTTGAGCCTCAGTTTCTTATCTGGAAAATGGGGTTTATGATACCTATTTTTCAGGACTGGTGTGAGGTTTAGAAATAGTGCATATAAAGTACCTGGCACAGAGCAGGCCCCTGATAAATGGTAGTTAGTACTGTTATTCTAGGCAGAGACTGTAAATGCTGGAGAATCTGAAGGGCCAGGGGTGTTGGCTGTTGGCAGAATCACCCAGCCTGGGGAGACCTGATGGTAGAGGGTCGGCAGTGGACAGATTGTGAAGCATCTTGAATGCCAAGGGCAGAATGCTTTGAACTTGGTACAGAGGGAGGTGGGAGGTGCCAATGGCTTTTAAATAGGGAAGTCCCTGTCTGGTGCCAGGTTCTGGGGATATGGGCATCAGCTAGATGCCCATGGTCTTCATCTGTACTTCATCTGCATGGTGGGGACTAGGAACAACCCTGCAAAGACATAATTACTTCCGGAGAGATGTCTGCAAAGGAAAAGTCCGGTAGGCTCTGGGCCCATATGCACCCTGACCCAGCCTGGGTTGGAGAAGACCTCACTAAGAAAACAGCTTGTAAACTGAGCCTCAAGGAGGAGTGGGAGGCAGCAGCAGGAGCTGGATGCAAGGCGGGTCTGGGGGGAGGCCTGTGTGACTGGAGTGATGGTATGCGGGCTGGGGAGGTAACAGTGGAGATCTGTGTTTGGTAAGAGCTTTCGGAGGCAGCGTGGGGGACAGACCTCCGGGACAGAGGCTGGAAGAGACCAGTGTGGAGGCTGAAGCTGCATCTGAGGCAGAAGTTTATGGGATGGGAGAAGAAGGGAGGCTTCTTGGAGGAAGTGTCGGTGGGGTAAAGATGGAAGATTGAGGAGACAGTCCTTGAGCTCCCGGGGCAGTGGGACCCAGGGCATACCACAGGCTAAGCCCTGAGTGGTGCTCTGTACATTTAGTGCAAGAACTCTTTCGCATCACCTCGGGAGCTCCTTCTGCCAAGCCGAGCCCGGCGGTCCCTGCCCGCTGCAGATGCTCATTTGCATTTATTTGCATACAGCTCCCCACCCCTCTGGGCCCAGCTGCCTCTGGCCCTCCAGCCCGCGCCGCGTCCCCTGCCGGCTGCAGATGTACCCACAGCGCAGTGTCGCCCCTCGGACCGGCGCCTCCTTGGGACCACCGAGCTCGGGCCCCCCTGGGCCCCCGTGCCAGCTCGATACTTACCCTCGACCCGCACCCCGGGCACGTGCTCCTGAGCCCGCCGCTCCAGGCCCTCCACTGTCAGGCCCCGGTGTCCTCCAACATCTCTCCTGACCCCCAGGCGCCCCCAAATTCCCGGCGCCTGCTTGGTGCTTTCACCTGCAGTGCCTTTGCTCCTTTCCCACCCAGCCCTCCAAGCGAGCAGGGCAGGGCCCGCCCGATAGCCCCTTCTTCTGGGGAGCCTTCCCGGACATGCCTTCCGAAGCCCCCGGCTCCCCACGCCTCCGTGAACCCCACTCCACCTTGCTCCGGCGGGGGCAGCAAACGTCAGCGAGCCCGGGAGCGCCACCGAATCTCGGGGGTGGGGGCTCGGGCAGGCTCCTCTCACTCCCCGCCTCCCCTCCCGCCCCCAGGCCATTTACAAGATGGTTTCCTCTGTGATGAAGATGCCGGAGGACGAGTCGACCCCGGAAAAGAGGACTGAGAAAATCTTCCGCCAAATGGACACAAACAACGACGGTGAGGGGCAGGGGCGGGACGGGGTGGGCCGGGCGGGCCCCTCTCCCTCCCTCCCTCTCCTGCTCCCGCACCCGCTCCGCCTCCCCTCGCTTGGCTGCCTCCTCCTTCCTCATCACCGCTCCCCTCGCCCTGCAGGCAAGCTGTCCCTGGAGGAGTTCATCCGCGGGGCCAAAAGCGACCCGTCCATCGTGCGCCTGCTGCAGTGCGACCCCAGCAGCGCCTCCCAGTTCTGAGTGAGAGGAGTCAGGTCCCCCCTCCTCCCTGCCTTCACCGGCCCCCTCCCGGCTCTCAGCTTCCTCTTCTTTGTGTCTATCTGACTGGGGGCCAGACTGGGGAACCCTCATCCCCAGGTCTGCCCTGTCGGGGGGCCTCCGGAAAAGGGAGCCCTGCGGTACCCCCAGGCCCAAGCAAGCAAGCGGTTAGCACCCCCTAATCCCAGAGGCAACGACAGAGACACAGGCTGGCTTGGTCTGCCCCTCAGTCAGGCCCTCTGAGACATCCCACCCACCCAGACCCCTCCCCCAATGGGGCAGTCTCCCCGTCTTGCAGGTCTCATCTTGGGGGGTGGGAGGAGTCATGCCCCAGGGAGGAGCCTGTCTTTTTATCTGTAAGGGAGAAGGATTCCAGGGCTGTAGAGTTGAAGGAAGAGGCTTTCTTGAGCCAGCCTTCCCTGCAGGAGGGCCTCACCCCTTCCCACCCCAGTCCTTGCTGGTCCCTAGACCAAGCTACCAAGTGAAACCTCCTAGGATACTAGCCCGCCAACTGTGGGTCCCAGGAAGCCCTGCCTGCCTTTTAACACTTGGACACGCACAGACCTACGTAGCTCTCCATGTTTTGCCTCACACACGCACAGGCCCACAGACAGATGGGCAGATGCACCCAGAGCCCCGTGCACAGCGTCCTGCGTGGGAAAGAGACACCCCCCCCGCCCCGCTGAGCCCGTCATCCCCTCTGTCCCCCCTGTGTCCCCCCAACCATCCCCCTGCATGCAACCAAATGGAGCAACTCTGTTCTTTTTAATAATTTCAGAATAAAGTCTCATTTCAGTGCAGTGGCCTGGGTGGTGGGGGAGGGGGTTGAAAGCCCCACTTGGGTCCCCGATAGTCTAGTGAGCCCTCTCAGGCCAGCTCCAGGAATCCTGGCCTGGTCACAGAGCAGAGTTGTTTGCAGGGTCCTAGTGGCCGTGGGCCCTGGGCAAGACATCATCTCTCAGAGGGTCAGAGGCTCCGAGCTGGTGCAGCTCAGCAGGTCACGGCTCTCCACCGGCTCTGGGCTCTCCGGCATCTGCAGAGACACAGGAGGCTGCCAGACCCACTGGTTCTCAGCCTGGGTCTCCCCCTCCAGGACATCCAGGAAATGGGAGGAGGGGAGGGCTTGGAAGGATCTCTGGGGGCAAAGGGGAATCACTACCCAACCCACTGCAAGAGCCAGGCCAGTCCCTTGGAATGCCCCCAGTGTGAGCCCAGATACCCCTGCCACTCCCTCAAGACTCCTCCAGGGCCCTAGGAGAGCTAGGTGTCAGCTGTGTGAATCTGCTGGGAGATCTCATATCTCCCAGCCGAGAGAAAACTTTTGCTCCATTTCTCAAGGTGGGGGCCCATACACAGGGGTGGAGCAGAGCAGCTGGGGCTCCCTGGCAGAGGCTCCCAGGAAATCTGGGGAGTCAGGGCTGTGGAGGGGACTTACCATGTGGTGGCTGCTTTTCCCCCACCAGGGCCTCAGCTCCAGCAACTGGTGGGTGAGCTGAGCACAGCGCACAGCAAACACGTTCTCTGCCACGCAGAGCACTAGGGCGATGCCCCACAGGCACAGGCTGGAGCTCTGCAGGACATGGGGTAGAGATGGCTGGCTGGGGTCGGGGGTGGAGGGTGGACTCCAAAAGCACTTTCCACCTCTTTGAGGGCCTCGTGCTCCTACCCCAGGCCTGGGAACTCACATAAATGCGTGTGGGGTCGAAGGGACAGTCAGGTGCGAGGGCCAGTAGTTCAGAGCTCCCAAAAGTGCAGGCAGCCAGCAATGCCTTGCCCTGGGTGGCGAAGGTCACGGCGATGGAGGCCAAGAGGCCAAGGGCACAGGTCAGAGAGAGAAGAGCACAGGCCACGCTCGAGCTAAACACTGTCCAGCGCTGGACAGGGGAGGCCACTGGTCAATGGGCATCGTGCTTAACCCCCATGGGCAGCTCTGACCTCCCTGAGGGTCAGCCTCACCCCCTCCAAGGAGGCCAGGCCCTTGGGAGTGGCTGCCGCCCCTACCCTTCCCTCACAGTCCCATCCCAGGAGGTACCACGTACCAGGGGGGTGCTGGGGAGGTAGCGTGACAACACGATGCCTGCGATGCCTGAGGCGATGACCTGTAGGGAAGACTCAAGTCAGCCCTTACTCCTTGTCTGGAGCAGGGGGGACAGGGGGATCAGGGCCACTCTGGGATAATGACCTCACGAGTGCCAACCATGGCCATCCAGACTCCCTCACCCCTCGTCCCCTGCTTAGCCTGGGCCTCACATCTCCACCTGCCTCTTCACAGTCCAGCCTGGAGTGATGTTTCTAAAACAGTCACTCCCTGTCTACAACCGTCTGAGTACCCACTGCCTACAGCTGTGTCTCAGTCAGGGTTGGGTATCCTGGGGCCACCGGGGCATGCCAGGGTATGCATGGGACACACCTTTCTGGAATGGAAAAGATTTTGGAAGAAACTAACCCAGTTAGCAAGGAACTAAAATCAAAATTGTTACACTGAAACAAACCAAGACATGTTATGGAGGAGAACTTTAAATCCCTGGGAGTATTTTCAATGATTCCAGGCTTTCAGTGACCAAACCCCCTCCCCAGCCCTGTTGGCTTCTCAGCCCCACCTGGGCTACTCTCCTCCCTCACTGCCCTGGATGTGGACGCCCATACACAGCCTGCTCAGGATGCTGCCCACGCACTCTCTCACCAGGAACACCCTTCCTGCTCCTCTGCCTGTGCAGATCCTGCAATCCCTGCTCAGGTTTGCACACGCTTCCCTAACCAGCCTTGTTCCCAAGGGGTGGGACCACCCCACAATTTAGCCCAACAACCACCCTCTGGATCTTTGGGCCCCACCCAGCCAGTCTTCCTCCTGATGTTCTTCACTGGACCCATCTGAGGCAGGTGGTATGATGGGGGTCCTGGGATCCAGGCCTAGCAAGGATCTTGAATTCACATGGAAGCCACAACAAAGTCCCTCAATCTCTCTGGGCTGAGCCCTGCTCTGAAGAATGAGCTCACAGAAAGGACACTGGCTTTGGTGTCCGACACAAATAGGTTCCAATCTGGTTTGGCTTCTGTGTATCCACAGGAGGTTGGGTGAATCCCTGAGTCTTGGTTTCTCTTTTGTGAAACAGGGATAATAATGGCCCCCAGTTGCTGGGAGCAGTGAGGATTAACTGACTGAAGGGAAGGCTAAAGTGGTCCAGCCCAAAGCCCATCCCTGGGGGACCTCCTCACCCTGAGCACAATGCTTTCCCTGCCTTCCTCACAACAATATCAGTCAGAAGAACTCCAAGGACCCTGCACACATCTGCCCAGCTCTGCCCCACCCACTGACAAAGCCTCTCCTACTTGCTGGGACCTATGACCCCCATTCTTCCAAGCCTTGAGGCCAGCAGGCTGTCTGAGCTTTATTTTGCAAGGGAGGAACAGGCCTAGAGAGAGAAATAAGTCTCTCAGCCAGGCAGAGGCAGGGATGGAATTCAGACATTGATGTGCAGAAGGATCTTCCCCAGAGGCTATGGCCACTTCTGCTGACCGGCAGGAAAGAGCTTTAGAAACTTGAGACTACCAGACCTGTCCATTCATGTGCTAGTCAAACAGGTACTGATATCCGGTCACAACCGTGGCTACCATTCATTGATCTGTAACGGCTGCCACAGATCAGGCCTAATGCTAAGCTCCTGCCAAATTGGTTTTCTCAGCTTCTCCAGAACAGATCTTAGCCATTTCCACCTCCAACCTTTCTGTCTCACATTCTCTGTACTCGAATGCCATCCCAGCTTCCTTTCCTGCCTACTGCTAGCCTCAATATGCCACATGCCTGGGTTATGATCACGGCAGCCCGTTTGTGAACTCCTGCTCATCCATTAAGACCCAGCTCAGAGGCCTGCACTCTGTGAAATCCCCCGGGACCCTCCCAAGCTTACCTGCTGCTCCTTTCTTCTGTCCAGTGGTGCTGTGGATATTTCTCGAGCGTAATGATAATCTTAGCTCACAATAGCAGGCACTAACAACATACCAGACACTGTGCTAAGCACTTTGTGTGGATGAGCTCATCTGTACTCATCAAGACCCTCAGAGGTAAACAGTTACCATCCCCATTTTATAGATGAAGAAGTGAGTGACTTGGGCAGTTGGTGGCGGACCAAGGGTTAGTTCTTGAGGCTGCTGCCTACCACAGATTCTGGGTGGAGATTTGTTGAAAACCCTTCAAGCCCCCTCCATCCTCCCCCACCAGCCACCCTCCCAGCCTGGCCATACCACGATGGCGGAAGTGACAGACAGGATGTTGACCACGCAGTACTGCAGAGCCACAGCATCGTGGGGGGTGCCCACGTAGCGCAGCACTGTGCCATGGAGCAGGGCGGCTGTGATGAAGCTCACGTGGCCTAGCACCACCAGCACCAGGCCTGTCTTCATCAGCACCTTCCGGAAGTCGTCCACACTCAGGCCTCCTGTGGGGGACAGCTATGTCAGGGCTGTTCGTGGGGCTTATCCTGCTGGGCAGAAGGGGAAGCTGAGGCCCTGGCCTTAGTGATGTACATTGGGTTCTAAATGTATTTCTGGATGACTTGGAGCCAGTAACTTGCCTTCTCTGAGCCTCAGTCTCTTCATCCATAAAAGGGGCTGGGGATGCCTTTGTGAGTCCCAAGGACTCTAAGGCTGGACAAGCATACAGGTGGCTCTTAGCAGTAGGGCTTGTTAGTGTTCAAGGTCATGAGTGGGGGGTGCTAGCTCAGGTCTCTAGCTCTAGACTTCGAGATCTTTCCACTAAGCTCCCCATTTACTGATTGATGTGTTCATTACACATGTTCACAGAGTGCTGCTCTGTGCCAGGCCCTAGGGTACCATGGTGAGCTCTACAGTCACTCTCCAGGCCACAAGGAGCCAGAGTTTATTAGGTAGGAATTGGGCCCTATTCAGTACTCAGCTTGGTGGATAGGGCCTGGTACACAGCAGATGCTCACAGAGCAGCTGAACTGAACTGCCCAGAGCCAGGTGAGTCTGGGCAGGTAACTCAAAGCTCTGAGTCTCCAGGTCCCCATCTGTAAAATGGGAAGAACCTTGCCTCTCAGTGAGTCCATGAGGAAGTGTATGGGAAAGTGTGGCATACCCTGAGGGTACTGTGAAAAGGAAGCTCTCAGCACAGGGGGCACTAGGCAGGATGGAGTGAGTGGGGGAGGCTGGGGTCAAAAGGACATTGAGCCAGGCGTGGTGGCTCATGTCTGTAATCCCAGCACTTTGGGAGGCAGAGGTGGGTGGATCACGAGGTCAGGAGATCGGGACCATCCTGGCCAATATGGTGAAATCCCCTCTCTACTAAAATATAAAAAATTAGCCGGGTATGGTGGTGTACGCCTGTAGTCCTAGCTACTCGGGAGGCTGAGGGAGGGGAATTGCCTGAAACCTGGAGATGGAGGTTGCAGTGAACCAAGATCGAGCCACTACACTCCAGCCTGGTGACAGAACAAGACTTCGTCTCAAAAAAACAAACAAAAAAACAAACAAAAAATTGGGGATTGGGACATTGGGACTCATTCAGATGCTCTCAGAGGCAAAGTGGCAACCTAGCCCTACATGCACATGCCAGCTCCCGACCTGCTCTCTGGAATTTGCCTGAGTCCTAGCTCTGCCCTTAAAGAGATACATTACACTGGCCCCTGGGCCCTGCCAGCCCCTCACTAGAGCCAGCTCTGAGACTCAAAGACTGTGGTCAGGTCCCAGAACTAATCCCCTTCGTTAACTGCTCCTGATGGGATGTGACTCTGAGTCTCCCCATCTGTGGTAGAGTGGCTTGGTCATATTTAATATATGGGAG